TTTGAGCCCGTCCTATCCTCAGTCGTAGTACTCAGCAAAACTTTTGGAAATTTCAATTTTTGAAACAATCATCCTAATTTTGCTATCATTTCGGATATAACGGCAGTAACTCCGGAGACAAAACAATAGAAATCAATTAATTAAGCAAGAACAAGAACACTGCAGGCTCTGTAAATCCAGGTCAAAAACCTGGTCAGAAACTGCTTGCAACCTAAACTGAAAGAAACAGAGGAAATCACATTAAAAGCCTTCGCTCCTTAATTGCTTTTGATTGGAGATTTGGCAAGACTCAAATTTAGAATAAAAAAACTCAGTCTCAAGCTAAAATACCCGAACACGAGCACGATTGACTGAACGTGATCATGAATGTCTAATAACGTCGTATACTGCTTTGTGTAGCCGTACATAGGTTCTGCAGGTGTCATACGTTCCCATCTTTACCCCATTGGTGACGTAAGCTATGACGGCTTTTCTCTCCAGGTCAATGCTTAGTTGTTGACATCCGTGACCATCATGTCCTATTATTGGGAGCTTCTGGAAAAAAGATAGCTTTGATCAGTCTCCTCAATATCGCCTTTTTTTGAGCACAAGTAGACTATCAGATGCCCTGTGTTCAGAATTGGACGCTTCAAACATAAGTTCTTGAGCGCTACACCAAAGATCAAGGCTACATCAGCACTTCTATCAAACATGCGTTGTTTTTTATTTGTTTCTCTGTTTTGTTTTTTCTTTTTGTTTTCGCTTTCTGTGGTCCTCACGGAGCACGTCGTACTTTTATTTTGTGGTCAAAGGGGATTTGGTTTACGAGAGTTATTTTGGCCACTCCCGCCCATGTTTTGGCAACGATATCTTACAGTAAGATCAGTATTTTTAGTGTATGTGCGCAGGACTCACTCCTTCGATAGGTGGACGGTAGAAAAACCCATGTCCTTTGACCATAGGTGCTTGTGTCACATAGTCCGTCTCGTTGATTACAGGCTTTTCTAACAGCTTGAGAGTCTTTTCACTAACGATGCGCCCGTCGACAAACTGAAAGGCAAGAAAAGTACTAGAGTTTAGAACACGTTAAACGTCATACCAAACTGAACATAGTCGCCAACGATCTTGCGTTTCCAATGCCAAATGCAGCTGCTTGCTCTAGCGTATGGTG